GTAGGGGGTCATTGTTTCAGATATATATGGGGCACTGCAGAACCAAATATGTTAATGGTAACATTAAAAAAAAAACTTAAGCAAGCTTCTGTTTTAGTGGTATTTTATACCTTATATTATAGACAGAAATTAGGGGTATCTGAAACCTGAAATTTTATATTGTCTTAGAAGGTGCAAAATGGTTCTGAAAGGGGCATGGGTCAACAGCATTAATGCTGTAACTAATGCAGCTTAAGAACACAGTACATAGGGGGGAAAGTATTCACATGCAATTATCATTATGAGGCTTTTGAATGACATACTTTACAAAAATATTCACTCTTACCTGATTTTTGGCTATCATTCTGAAACTTACAAACTAAATAGACATTGTTTTTACTTTGTTTGCTATGATGATAAAACTGCTTTTTTCAAAAATGCATATGGAATCGCAAAACTAAAAATAATGAAATACTGTACTAGTATGGTTATCAGCAGTCAGCCTGGAGTGCATTAAAACTTACAGAGATCCTATGAATGAGTGACCACCAAAATGTTAATAGCTTCGGCTCTTGCAAACTCAAGGCTGTAGTTTATTGAGTCGATCCATCTCATAATTGGTCTTCCTCTTTTCCTGTTGCCTCCCACTTTCCCAAGCATTATCTTCTCTGCCCCATCTTGTCTTCTCTTGAAGAACAGTAGCCTTTGAACTGCTCTCTTTTTCACTGGCTACATGCCATTCTGAAAATGGTGTGGTACAGTTTATTTATTTAATTTGGTATATTCTTTGTATGCCACCTTTCTCCCCATAGGGGATCCTAGGCTGTTCACAGAAGATAAAACAATAGATTTAAAACATGGTATAAATATCATATTTAAAAAACAATTAAACACATATTAACATTTCTAAGAAGTTTAAAAACAATTTAAAAACATTTGAAATCATTAAGTTCAAAACCAGCAAGCATTCTTGATACAAGTTACTGCATAAAGGCCTAAAAAGGAAGGTATTTGCCTGTCGCTGAAAGGACAAGAGGGGAGGGGGGGCAAACCTTGCTTCTCAGAGTAGCACACTCAACCTACTTAACTAGCTACTGAGAATGACCTGTCTTTGTTTAATTTAAATTAACTTGGGTGGTGGAACTGAGAGAAGGACCTCCCCAGAAGATCTTAAAGGCCAGGTAGGCTCATATGGGGTGATAGGATCTTTCAAATAGCCTGAACCCAAGCTGTATGGGGCTTTATAGACTGTAGCCAGCACTTTGAATTGTGCCTAGAAAAAGACTGGCAGTCAGTGAAGCTGTTATAATACATGCTCTCTGTAACCAGTGCCAGTCAGCAATCTGGTTGGAGCATTTTGAACCAGCTGAATTTTTCAAACACTCTTCAAAAGCAGCCACACAAAGAGCATGTTGCAGTAATCCAAACGGGATGTAATTAAGTCATGTGTTGCTGTGGCCAGATCAGACATCTCAAAGAATGGGTGCAGCTGGTGCACCAGCTTTAACTGTGCAAGTGCACTCCTGGGCACTGCAGAAATGTATGCATCCAGGTTCAGAGTCAAGTCGAGGAGCACACCCAGACTGCGGTTCTGAGTTTTCAGAAGAAACGTGAACTCATCCAGCACAGGCTGGATCCCTATCCCCTAATTTGCTTTGTGACTGACCAGCATGGCCACCCTGAAGCACAACCTGAGTAATTCTTCTGGCAGATGATTTTAGTGTGAAGTATTTCTGTAAAGAATGTGTCTTTAAATGCCCAAGTTTGCATACAATTCATTTTGATTTGTGCTTGATAGAATGCTGAAAGTAATAATTTCTCAGAGGCATTACAGTCTTTTATTAATAGTTAAGTTTTAGATCTGTGTTAAGCTAAAAGACAAACCACAGAGACTTTTGTGTTCTGGGAAGTCCGTTAACTTGAGAAGCAGTTTAAGAGACAGATTTTAAAAGAAGCTGACTCATCATACCCTGAAATGGTGGACTCATCAGCTAATAATCATGTGCTGTTAAGTCAGTTCTGACATATGGTGAGATACTATGGTGTTTTTTTTAATTGATAAAATCAGCACTTTAGCAGGCGAGTTCTGAAACATGCCAGACTGAAAAAGGAAATGTTTTGTGGTTTCCGCTCTTCCCTTTTGTAAAAAAATTCATGGAGGGGGAAAAAAGACAGTGCACAGATCAATTTCAGCACTATTTTTTTTATAATGAACTGTGAGAATTTTTTATTTTTATTATTTACTTCCTTTTATCTTTATTAATGTATTATTTCCAAAAACTTTATGAACAATAATGTTTAAAAGAAATACTGTATAAAACAAAGGGCTCACTGCAGTTGTGGAAGAAATTCCAAATTTCCTATGGATATGCTCTCTTTATTTCCAGGTAGGAAAGACCAAACTCATTAACACTTTCTATTTATTTGTATGCCACTTTTTCACAAGATCTTGCTCAAAATGTATCATAACAGAGCTGAGAACAAAATTGTGGACTATTGTGCTTCTGTATCCACAATTCAGAATGCCAGGAAATGGTTTGATACTGCTACACAGTATCATGCCTGCCGTTGCAAGCAGGAAAAGGATGTCAAACTTTATATAGCAAAGGGCAGCCAATGGCAGCAGTCAAGATAGTCTACGCAGGATACCCTCTTGTGCTCACTACCATTTATAGGGATACACCTGGCAGGGGAAAATCCCAGAATCTGACTCCTTTTTCCATCAATTAATGACTTGTCACTCAAACACAAAGTAATTCTCAGGGCTGTTTTTCAACAAATTCTCTAGGTGGTCCGTTTCTCTCCCCCCGCCCCCCCCCCCGGTTTTGCATCTGACTCCTTAAAAAGAGTCTTCTCTAGCTGAGCATGTGTGCTCTAATGTTTAACCCTTCTTTTTTTTTCCTAATAGAAAGAGATTCTCCAAACTCCACTTCTGACAGTGTGGGAAGCATCTGTGGAGGATCTCCTACTGACAGCGCCAGAATCAGATCATCCTGGGAAATGCTGCGTCCGTGGAGTAATCCTGGGTCAGTAGGGGAAAGACTAGTCTGTTTTCCTTATGAAGAGGCTTGCTTTTCCCCACGTCTGCCCGTGGGGAGTAGCCGTCTTTCTCCAGCAGTAATTTTTCCATGTATAGCTATGGAAAGCGGTTCCTACGGAAAGAATCATCTTTGTTCCTTTGTATTTGGATTGCTTTCAAAGGCTGCACAGGGCCACCAGGGGAAGGGAAGGGCTGGGGTCCTATAATGTTAAGGTGTTTGGGAATTTGTGGAGTTATTTCTCAATATGCAGGAGGGATTGGGAATAGGCTAGCTCATTTCTGAACCAGTCTGATGTAAGCCTGGGAACCTAATCTATTATTGCAGCAATATACTGTAATATAATTAGGGTTGTCATCTTTGACTAGTTTTTCATGAAAAACTAGTCAAAGATGACAACCCTAATTATATTACAGTATATTGCTGCAATAATAGATTAGGTTCCCAGGCTTCATGAAAAACTAGTCTGCTTTTACACTTTTCATTTGAAATAGGTATAAAGCCATGTTAATAATCTGAACATCTTAGAATAAAGTCTCATGACCATGGATGGGAATCATATGAAGTTGTAAAGCAGCCAAGAGGTGGTTTTTATGATTATGTGTAATGCAGCCACATTTTTAGTTGGAGATAATGCCTACAGCCTTTAAGTGCTTCAAGGTGCTGGAAAGGAATCCGTTTGTCTACCCCTTTCTCTGTTGGTCTGTCCATCCTTCACCTGTTTATTGTAGCATGCCAGATCTTAGTTATGCCTCATATCATTCAGGAACAGCACACCCATCACCGTCCTGTCTTGTGAGCCAGAAAAATCTAGCAGTACAGCGATATCATTTGTATGAAATCCTATTGGTCCCTCTCACTTTCTCTCTCTCTCTCACTCACTCCTCTTCCTTGCAGTCGAAGCCTGAATTTTCTGACATGCCTCATAAATTACTTGCGATTGCAAGTGGGAATTTCCAGATAATATTCATTGTGTAGGTTGAGCTAGGAGGGAATAAGCACCAATTTGCACTCTTTTAAATTTTCTTTTCTTTAATTGACATGGTCTTAATAACAAGGGCCAGATCTCCTCGTGTCTTGACAAAAGCCTTTCAGGGCGGAAAAACAGAAAGGTACCTCCTCCGCTGCAGTTATGCCAGTAGTGTTTCACGTCATGTTTTTTCCCTCAGATGATGGAAGGACAGTGCATGCTGGGAGTGTTGTTCTGACCACAGGAACATTTCTGAGAGGGATGGTCCTAATTGGATTGGAAACGCATCCTGCTGGGCGTATGGGAGACCGGCCCTCCATTGGCCTTGCCCAGACTCTGGAAAGACTTGGATTTACTATAGGAAGGCTAAAGACTGGGACTCCACCCCGACTACTGAAGGACTCCATTGACTTCACTGACCTGCAGAAACAGGAACCGGACCGCCCTCCTGTGCCATTCAGTTTCCTTAGTGAAGCAGTGTGGATTAAGGTGAGATTGAGCCTTGAGGAATATATGGAGTTGATGTGAGGTGTCTTTTCCTCTCTCTTCTTTCCCACTCTTCAAAAGTGCTATATTTTTTGGCAGTGCTGTGGTTTCTGTTTACACAAAGCAGGTATTTTGAAATGGCTTCAGTGTGGATGCTTCTGTAGGTTTGTAGCAGGGGAGGGGGACCATCACACATCTGTTTCCATTAGAAGTGTCCCTAGAAAGCCTCTGGCGTATGGATAGTGGGACAAGTGGTGGTTATATAAGCTTCCCCAAAATGGTTGCTCTTGATATGCCTTGGACTTAACTTCCATCATTTCAGTTGGCACAGCTGACCTGGTGCCTGGGGATGATGGGAGATGTAGTCCAACACATCTGGAGGGCACCAAGGTGAGAAAACTGATGTATACCTTCGTGATTTAGAGTTCTGATTCCTAAAACACCAGCATAAAAGGCCAGAGAATAGCTTTATGCTGTTGTACCCATTTACCAGTAGCTTTGTCTTCCTTTTGCCCTGTGATTCTTGCACCCACCTATTTGTTCATTATTTTCTGCTCAGGTGCAGCAGGCTTTTTATTATACATATTGATCACATGAAAGGGCAATAGGTCAGAGTCTTCTTAATGAATTCAAATGTAAACCATTTTGGAACTAAAAAAAGTTTTGAGCCACCTTGAAGTCAGACAATATTTTCTTTTTCAGAAGCTTACATTCATAGTATGTTTCTGAAAAAGTGGGTGACAATCCATACATTCTTATGCCAAAGAAAACCTGTTAGCTTTTAAGGTGTTACAAAACTTTATTGCTTTGGTATCAAGAGACCAATATGGTTTTCTATGGATTTTTCAGAACCATGCTTTTTCTTTTTAAGTATTTTGTCCATAAATTTAGAATAGCAATTCTGTAATTCCATTTTTCAATTTTAAAAAAGGGTGTTTTTTTTTCGTTTTTGAGAAACCAGTGGTTTAGTATCTTGTCAACATTGCTGTGGAGATTTGATGCTTTAATTCTGTCATTCCATTTTTTTAATTTAAAAAAGGGTTTTTTTTAGTTTTTTAGTTTTTGAGAAACCAGTGGTTTAGTATCCTGTCAACATTGCTGTGGAGATTTGATGCTTGATAAGATTGCTTGCTTGGAAATAACTTCCTATGGCTTTACATTCAGAATTACACCAAACATAAATCTACTTAGTGAGTTTCTACAGACAGAAAGCTCTGTCCATGGAAAGTATCTTGCTTCATTTGCAAGGATTTCCTGCTCCCCTCTGTTCCCTCTATGTAGCCACCTCCATAACCCTTCATGTAGCTTTTTCAAAGGGCCAGAGGTGTTGATCCTTGTGAGAAGGTACCAGCCAGATTTCCATTTGCCTGTCAGGTAGCATATACCTAAATCTGGACTGAACCTAGCGCTTCCATTTCTTTGAGTCCTAATGATATTCTTAGAAAACATAAACGTTATAGTTTGCTGTGAGAGCACATATAAGCCTTATATCATATAAACCTAAATGCAGTTGCTAGTTCCAGACAGGATATAGCTATGAATCAACTAGTGAACCATAGGTCAACACTTACATCTGTCCCATTGATTCAGTGGGTCTACTCTGGTTGGGACTAAGAACCAGTTTTACACCATAGGCTTGGGTACTAACAGTTGTCACAGATACAGAGAGAAGTGAGATGATACAGCTTAAGTGAAGACTAATCCAACATTGATCCATCAATTATAGTGTAAAAAGTTCATTTCTGTAGAAGTTTTCTAATATGTACATTAAGTCCAGCTTGTTCTTGCTCTCATTCAGCCAGAAGATCAACTGTTCTCCTACCTGACTCACACGAATCCCAAAGTAGAACAGATGGTCCGTGACAATCTCCACCTGACCGCCCACATCAAAGAGACGACAAGAGGACCTCGGTGAGCCCCCTTTACATCGTTCATCTCTGTAGGAGTGCCAGTTTCAATGCAGTCAGTGCATGGCACTTGGTTGAGCAGAGCTTGCGAAATAGTACAAAAAGTCTATGATTAAGATTTAAGTAAGAGGAAGCTTAAATGGTAATTTAGTATAGATCAACATTATTGAGGGTTTTTTTCACTAGTTAAGTAAAAGATCAAATATTGTTCTTCAATTGAAAGGAAAACATAAAAGAAAAGGGCATAATTTGCTATGGCTGACACCATTCTCCCTTCCCCCTTGGCATTTTCTTATTTGTTCCATCAAATTAGCTTTTTGAGGGGAGGGAAGTCAAGTTGGCTTCCTAATTCTGGCTCTTTTCAGATGCCTTAGACTTCAGATCCTACTATTTGTTTGCTGGCTGCGTATGGTAAAGTTTGTAGTTCAGCACATCCAGAAGGTCCCAGGTTGGAGACTGCTGAAAGCTTACCAGAAAAATCTGTTCAAATGAAGCTATGTCATTAGTTGCTTCCCTCTACCTTTCTTCCCTCCTCCATCCCAAGCAATACTTAGATTGTTTAATTAGGCTTCAAACACTGTGGATTGTTGCCTGAACTGAAAAAAAGGTAAATAAAGAATGACATCCTGGGTCCCAGTTATAGGACAGTTGGAATGTCTGAGCTATTTTAATTCTGAAGTACAACAAGTTTGGGTCTACAAGTTTGGTCTGTAGTTCAAAGGTGGAATTTCAGGAATCTCCAGGTGAAAGGATTAGATAACCCAAATGCTCTACACCAGTCTTCTCTTACTAAGATACCTGTTGTTTCTTTGGTTCCCATTGAAGGATGACCAAGTTGCACAACCTGAGCTGGTTAATCTAGTATCCTCTCTTTCTCTCATATTTACACATGCACCTTGCACTTTGTGCCTCCCACACTGTTATACCCAACTCTGCCTCTTCTCCTCAGTGTGGCTGCTCAAACTTTTCCCACATATAATTAATGAAAACATCTTTAGATTTTAAATGTTAACGTTTGATTTTGAATTAATTGGAACCTAATTAAATTGCAACAGAGGCTTTCACCATATATGAAGCAAGAAATGCCCGATCTTCAAGCTGGATTCTGAAAAGGAAGAGCACTAGAGATCATATTGCAAATAACAGCTGGCCACTGGAGCCCACCAAAGAATTTCAGAAGACGATCAGTCTATGTTTTATAGACTACAACAAAGCCTCTGACTGTGTGGATCATGAGAAACAATGGATTGTTCTGAAATAGGTGTGACTCAACACTTGATTGTTCTGATGTATAACTTGTATTGTGGACAAGAAACTACCGGTAGGGCAGAATATGGAGAGACAAAATAGTTTTCTATAGGCAAAATTGTCAGACAAGGGTGCCTACCTGTTCTGTCTGTGTACAGAACATATTGTATAGAAAGCCAAACTAGATTTTGATGAAGGAGGAGTGAAAATTAATAGAGGAAACATCAATAATTTAAGGTATGCAAATTAAAATATCTTGATATCATTTCAGCAATTACTTGAAATGACGTTTAGTGAATGTGAAAGATGAAAGTGTCAAAGCAGGACTGCAGTTGAACAATAATGGAATAAAATAATGACTATAGAAGAACTATGTAACTTTAATGTTGACAATGCAGAAATTGCAACAGTGAAAGATTTTGTATACTTTGATTTAATCACCAATCTGAATGCAGCTAAGAAATCAAAAGAAGTCTAAGACTCAGAAGGGCAACAATGAAGGAAAAGATCATCAAGTGTAAGGATCTGTCACTAGAGACCAAGATCATCCATACTCTTGTATTTCTGATCACCATGTATGATGTGAAAGCTGGACAGTTAAGAAAGCTGACAGGAAAAAAATGATTGTTTGAAATGTAGTGCTGAAGGAGCGTTTTTCAGATAGCTTGGACTGCCAGAAAGATGAATAAGAGGGTCCTTGATTAAATCAAACCTAAACTATCTCTGGAGATAAAAATGACAAAACTGAGTCTGTCCTACTGTGGGTCCATCATGAGAAGGCAGGAGTCTCTAGAAAACAGAATAATGCTTGAAAAGGTTGAAGGCAACGAAAAAAAAGATGGATTGAATCCCTAAAGAAAGGCTTGAGTTTGTAAGAACTGAGCAGGGTTGTTGAGGACACAACATTTTGGAGATTGCTGATGTGAGGATATGAGTTTTGTAGTACTTGTTTTCCAGAGATCCACAGGTGTTTCCATCTCGCCCTGAGACCCAGCTCTTGTTGTGTCATTCAGTGGAGACAGTCAAGCTCACATCTCAAGACTGATAAACATTGCATTCCCTTCTAAGTGCTTGCCAGCCTGGGAACAAGAGACTGAGCAGTGGAAAGTTACAAGAGGGGCGTGAACTTGTGAACAAAGGACTGTATGCTGATTGGATACCATCACAAAGCAAAGATTTTGATTTAAGTTACAGAAAGGGGGGTTAGGTTTGTGTAAGTTGGAGGAGGAGAAGGACATGACAGGTTTAAAGCCTTCTTTGCTTGATTAGGAGATTTAACAAAGGTTACTTAGAATAACAATGGTAATTAAGTAGTAAAACTATTCAGTAGTTAATCATTTTATTGTTTTATGGGAAAGACAGGGGTTTACTTAATACTTAAGCATTTAACAAGTATAATGTGTATCTTTTTGTATTTCTTTTTATTTATAACTTTTTACTCTTTTTAAACAAACCTTTTATATTTTACCCAAATTGATTCTTGGGGGGCAAGGGTGTAAGTGCCTAAAGACAGTGCCTTAGCCACGAGGGCTATGTTTGCTATTTTGTTCTTCCGGTGTCCTACTTGGTAAGGTTGATGTGCAAGGTTTAAAGTACACAGCTAAAGAGTTTTTAAGCCCAAATAAGGAAGTAATTGGAAATCTCGGGTTAGAAGCTTGCCCATAGTTGCCCACTCACGCACCTTCTAGGTCTCACCCAATCTAGAGTTAAAAGGTGGTGGAAGCTGGGAACTAGAGTTATGGCACCTTCCCCGAGTGGAATGACTCCTCTAAGGAGACACATTCCTGACAGTTCATTTTTCCTTTAAAGAGTCTCCATAAGTCAGAGGCAATGATGGCACATAACAACAATTAAATTAAATCACCATTCTAACTATGTTTGTAGAAATTGGACAAAAAGTAAAAGATTAGCATAATGAATTAAAAAAATCTGTTTCAAGCTGTATGTTAGAATAACATTAGCAGTACAGATAAGTCTGAGCCTTGTGGAGCTCTCAGTATAGGTCACAACAGGAGGAGAAACGCCAGGGAAGGTTAAAGGAAGGGGGTGTTAATAGCAAAGTCAGTGAGGAAGAATATATACAAATGCTACTAAAGGTACTTAAGTTTAATTCTCTGTAGTAGGCAAAGAGTACTGCCATGAGAGAATGCATCCGGAAGAGAATATACAGTATTTTGTACTGTTTTGAGGAGGAATGACTGGCAGAATCCAAATAGTGTCATCATCTGGATTTGTCTCTCTATTCCTGTACCTAGGTACTGTCCCTCCCTTGAGTCTAAAGTTCTACGTTTCCCAGATCGTACGCATCAGATCTGGCTCGAGCCTGAAGGCCTGGATTCCAATGTCATCTATCCACAAGGAATATCCATGACATTGCCGTCTGAGATCCAAGAGGAGATCATCCCACACATTAGGGGCTTGGAAAAAGCTAAAATGATGCAGCCAGGTAAGTGCCAATTATCTATCTATCTATCTATCTATCTATCTATCTATCTATCTATCTATCTATCTATCTATCTATCTATCTATCTGTCTGTCTGTCTGTCTGTCTGTCTGTCTGTCTGTCTGTTTGTCTGTTTGTCTGTTTGTCTGTTTGTTTATTTGTTTATTTGTTTATTTATTTTTATTTGTTTTATTTATACCCCACCCATCTGGTCTTGCGACCACTCTAGGTAAAGGTCCAAGCAAGATAAAGGTCACTGCAGTTATGTAGCTGCATAAACATTTTACTTTATGCGAGCATCTAGTATATTACATTTGTTTATCACAAACATAGTATGTGCCATATTTGGTGATTATGGATAGATGTATCCGCCTCTCCACCTGGTGGATGTGGGGATTTGCCTTCCTAGAAAGAAAGGTGTTGCTCACCGATCTGCACACCAGTGGAATTTATGATTTCATAGACTTACACCCAATGGAAATGTGTGGATCTATGAAGCAGACATTTTCCTCAGCTGTTCCTTTGTCCATTTGACTTATTCCAGGCTATGGTGTTCAGTATGATTTTCTGGACCCACGTCAGCTGACTGCCTCCCTCGAGTCTCATCTTGTTCAGCGGCTCTTCTTTGCAGGACAGATAAACGGCACAACAGGCTATGAGGAGGCTGCAGCCCAGGTGAGCTGGTTGTGGAAAGTCTGCTCCAGGAAAGGGTAATGATTCTGGAACATTTTTTGCAGTACCAATTGCCTAATTAAATAGCGGCTTTCAGCCACTAGTTACTTGGTTCGTGAATTCAAGTTACCTTGTTACCAAGCCTGTCAATACCTGTCCAAAATCCACTTTTGGATGGCAGAAATTAACTATAGTCCTAGCAGAAGGCCTGGTTGTGTTTCATCAGAGGACAGACTTTGTTCTTTTCTGCTAGAGGACAGTGACTTTTGATGCAATAAAGCTGGGCCAGAAACTTGTATTACCAGAATGCACAGGAGCACAGAATGTGTAACATTGGGAATTCCCTTATTAACACCTGGAAAGGGTAACCAAGACGAGGTCAGTGATTTACTGGGAGAATGAAGTTTTATTGACAGGGTATTGCAAGGTGAACCATCACGTGGTTATTACAGAAGCAGGATGGGTAAGAAAGAGAAAAGGTGGCAGGAAACCAAGCCAAGCTTTCCTCGGCCAGATCACAGGGAGTGTACCCATAAGCATCTAAACCAAGCAGGGATGAGGCAGAGGAACTGTTGCCTGGCCTACAGACACTGGCTGACTGCTCTCCCCATCATTGCCGGAAGCATTCTCTTACCTACATTGTTGCCTGCAGGATTTAAATAAGTCAAAGTGATCCAGATAAAAGTCTTCCATCTTGTGACTGTTGCTGCTGCCACTGCTGCTCCCTTATCATTTCATGGCAACAGAGAGACTAGCTTGCTGTGTTTCTGTCAGATCACCATAGCTAACGGGGCTTTCTTCCCCCCCCTTTTTTTTTTCTTTCTTTTAGTCATATTTACTGCTTTATGGTATTTTTATTTTGCAAGACCACCAACATACCACTGGCCAGCCGGGAGAGAAGTTACATGAATAAAACGTCTCAAAGTCCTTCACAAGTTACAGAGCACACGATGCACATCTGCTCCTGTAGATTAAAAAATAAAAACTTAGTGTAATAGATGCCTGTGGGTTTTAGGTTTGCATGGGGCTTGTGCATAACCTGCCTAGGCACTGCATGCCTTGTGTTGATCACTGGTCATCAGAGAACAATTTGTTAAGAATGATAAATGCCATCCCTCTGGACAACGAATGTTTTTCAATTAAATACTATGAGCTGATGGCTGAAGAAGGAGACTGGATCCATGAAAGGTCACATGAAAATATAGCAGTTAGTCTTTAAGGTGCTACAATGTTTTTGTCTTCTTTTTCCCCACTGTTGTTTTTGCTTGAAATACTGTGACCTGAGGTTCTTTGTTAGGGTTGCATTTACAGAGCCACTGAGATTCTCCGGAGGTACAAAATCTAATAACGTACTATATCTGTGGCTTCATTGTTGCTCCGTCCAAGAGTCAGATGTGCTGCATAGATCAGGCAGGCAAAAAGTCTGAGCTCCAGGACATGTGATGGCTTCCCTGCATCTCCTGTGATCATGTTGCTGTCTTGCAGGGTATCATTGCTGGAATAAATGCTGGTCTGCGGGTCAAAGGGAAACCTCCTTTTATTGTTAGTCGCACTGAGGGTTACATTGGTGTTTTGATCGATGATCTTACCACTCGCGGTACGAATGAGCCCTACCGAATGTTCACCAGCCGAGTTGAGTTCCGGATGGCCCTGCGGCCAGATAATGCTGACACTAGGCTCACTGTCCGAGGTATTCGCTTCTACCGGGAGTACCTAAAATTCTGCCTCCTCCCCTTCGCCCCTCTTCTCCCCCTCCATACTTTTTTGTTTTGTTTTGTCCTGGTGTCTTAAGGTTATCATGAAGCTGGCTGTGTGTCCCAAAAGCGATATGACCAAGTATGTTGGATGAAAGCAAAGTTGGAAGAAGGAAAGGAAGCTCTGAAGTCTGTTCGTTTCGACCCTGCAAAATGGTCTGAGCTAATTCCAGAGGCAACCATAAGTCCTCAACGTAACACAGTTTGCAGGTATGCGTAGCCCCTCTGGTGTTCCTTTTGATTTTGTTTTTATGAGACCTGGAAAAGAACAAATTCACAAACATACCTCACAATCTCTATTTTAAAATAAAATATCTGGTAAACTTGATGTTTTGGTGATAGTATTTGCTGGAAAACACGCAAAGCTGTCTGTCTCTTTCTATGGAAAAGTGAATTTCTTTCTTGTCTGTATTGCTGAAACTCAGACTTGTATGAGTTCCTGGTTTCAGAGCAAGAATGCATAGGAGGAACAGTGCTTTCTGCTGAACATTTTGGTATGAATAGCAGTGTGTTTTAAGGAGAAAATCTGTCCTTATTGTCTGCTAGTTTCTGACAGAGAAACTGTTATCCCCAAGTTGTAGTGTGTAGTTTCTTTCTAATTTCCTATCTGTGCTTTCCCCTGTTAGCGTAAATGGTTCATGAGTTTAAAAAGCCATATTATTTTTGTACAGTGCTTAATGCATTGTGGTGAGAACCCCTGAACATAATGACACTACAATATGCACAGTATTTTAGATTTATGAATGTCCTGACATTCCATGGGGAGAGATGTTAACTAAAATTTGTTTTATTTTATTATTTTATAGCCCATCTTTCTATGACAAGCATACTATAGATAGGGTACAGATTATTTACATGCCCAGTAATCAGAATTCCTTGCTTTTTTTTGCTTGCTTAGTGCTCTGGACATCCTTGTGTACCAAAATATCAATATGGAGATTTTGGCAAGAGCTGTTCCAGAGCCCCTGAAAAAGTTTGCTGAGATGAGACAAGTAGCAGATAGACTGAAAATAGAAGGTATGGCTCACTAATAATCTGTTAACTCAGGTGGGCAATTTCCAGAAATTGGGGGGCTGCACATACACCCCCCCCCTCTTCAGTCATTAAAGAGGGGTAACTAGATTAACAAATAATGGCAGAAATGCTCCAGGAATGGGAGCATTTTCTTCCTTTGACTACATGAAGTACAAGTCAATGTGAGTTTTCCCACCAGTCTATAGGGTTTTTTTCCCTCCACCACTGGGGCTTCAACTTGTTTAATAGTGAATGCATTTGCATCAGTTCAGATAGTATGATTGCTTGTGCCAATGCAGAAGGCATATGTTGCCAAAACTGAACAGGGAGCAAGTCTTAAATTAACAAATGGAGAGCAGAGGTTTTTAAAACAACTCTTGTTCTGTTTTTAAAGCTGATGTTTAGCCCCGTTCATGCTAAAACTCAATTTTCCTTCAAATTGCTTGTTTTCCTTTTCCTCTCCTGTTCCATTTCTCTTTTTTACCCCCAAGAAGGCTTGGTCCATTGTGCTAGGACACTTAGGAAGCTAAAGAGAAAAACAGGAACAAGGAGTCAGCATAGAGTGAGGAGGACAATGGTTATTAGCATTTATTTGCAGCTTCTTATAATAGCTTTACTGTACCTGTGCCTCCTGCAAATACAGCTACAGAAGAGCTGCCTTAACGAGTTGCAAACAAGGTTGATTACTAATTTCCTCCTCTTTCCTCTTATGATTCCTGTGTAGTTGGTTAAAGGGAATTTACCTGGGGAAATCCATCTTCCGGGGTGTGACTTCACTGTGGATCCATTCAGATTTTCCCAACTGTATAGGGATATTCTTAGTTTCTTTTTTAATATGAAAACCTCTCTTGTGCTCTGTAGAAGAGGTACACAGGGCAAATTTGGCATGATACATTTTTTAAAATTTGCTTTGTTAGGGGAAGATGTTGCTCACTCTTCTCTTAACAGGATGCATTTATTATCCAGTAGATGTTCTTCTCCAAGTATGAACTTAGAGCAGAAATTCGATTCATTCCCCTCTCACACTCTGGATATCTGTGTAAAGCTGCTGCTGCTTATTGCCCTAGAGTCCAGAGTATGCAGTCACCCCAAATCTGGGGCTACAGAGACCCATCCCTTGTCCTTGGAGGCCAGCAGCAAGCACTCCTGCCATGCCGTCATTTTTTTCTTATATAAAAAAACTTTTTTAAATTGGAGAAACCCTTTTTTGCTTCTTAAGTGACCAGAAATTATTATTTTTAAAATCTTTTCGGGGGTGCTGAGGAGTCCTCAAAGCATGATGGAATTGCCTCTGTGCCCCCGCTTCAGAGGCCACAAGCAGACATTTTGAGCCAATATAGCTTTTCCCCCTAAATTGCAGGTGCTTGAGGGCCACGTATGGCCCCCCAGGACTTTCTAGGGCTCACTTTTGCCTTGCTTCTAACATTACAGGAATAAATCAAGTTTGGACTCCTACTCTGTTTAGTTTGCAGTCTGAAACACACTTTTTAGTGCACAAGTCCTGTGAAAACCAGTTAACAATTCATCAAACAGCATCCATCAGATTCCAAGCTTTCCTAAGTCCCGTTCATTACTGAAACCAGATAGGGCTTGAAGTGTGATGACATGAAGGCATGAGATAAGTTCCACCCACCCCTCTCTAGTAGTCACATATTCGCAGTGGGGGTCTGCAGTGGTCCTTGTAAATGTATTCTGCTGAACATGCTCACAGTGTTTTTGTACCGTGTTCTCAGATGAAAGGGGTCACAATTATGGAAATGTTGTAAGCACATTCAGCACAATGGGCTACAAATATTGTTGCAGACATTTGCTGTGAACTCATTAAGGTATGATTTCCAGGTTGATGGAGATGCTGGGGTGATGGTGCAGGATTTACCTTTGTCCCAAGTGCACTTCAGGCTTTAACAGGTTTCAGGGTAAAACTACTGGGTAAGACTCCAGACAGATCCTGTTATGTGACTTAGAGAAACCCCTGATTGTGCATCATCTTTCTTCCAAATGTTACCACACAAAGTAATGAAAATTATTCTTATGTGATATGATCAGTGTATCAGAAGTCCTAGTCAACTGCCAAAATCTCTTATTTATTTATTTATTAGATTTATACCCCGTCTATCTAGACCAAAGTCTACTGTGGGCGGCTGTTACATACAGTGGTGCCTCACATGACGATGATAATTCGTTCCATAGGAATCACTGTCTTGTGAAAACATCGTCTTGCAAAAACTGTTTCTCCATTGGAATGCATTGAAACCCGTTTAATGTGTTCCACTGGGGAAAAATCGTTGTTTTGCGAAGATCGCCCATAGGGAAGTCATTTTGCGAAGCGCCGATCAGCTGTTAAAATGGCTGTCCTGTGAAGCATCAGTTCCAAAAACACCTGTTTTGCTAAGCGTCGATCAGTGTCAAAATCGTCGTCTTGCGAGAAATGGTTTACAAAGCACGGACCCAAACATCATTCAGCAAAAATCGCCCATTGGAATCATTGTTTTGCGAATCGCTACAGCGATCACAAAACTTCATCGTCATGCAGATTCGGCGTTTTGCGGGCCACCACTGTACACTGTATGTAATGGGTTTTGTTTGAAGTCCTTTTCTATTATTTTCTCTTGGCTCTCATTGGAAGCTCTTTATGAAATGAGTGTGTCCCTTCAGAAGCTAGAAATAGAGGAAGTCCGTCAAGATGAGGCTCTACAGCTGCCAGAAGATCTGGATTATTTTAAAATAAATACATCTTTATCGGATGAAGTGCGGGAGCTATTGGACTCCTGTCGTCCTCAGACGGTAAGGCACTGGCATTGTTGAGAAAGGAACATTGAAATTTTCAGCAGATGCTGTGTGCGCGCTCAATTTTATGTACTCAGAATGCATGAGCAATTTTGTGGGAATGGAGGAAGTATTGTGATTTCTGGAAGACAAGGCTTGCTATTTTACCAGTTTCCACTTGTGTGTGTGTTCAGCCATGTCAGTCGTTTCAGTTCCAAGCCAAAAAGATGGCTTTCTAAAGAAAGGAAAGCAGCAAAGGAGGTCCGTCACTGTTAGGTAGAGTTACACTGCCATTGTGGGATAAAACTGATGGCTTAAGATCTGGGCTCTGGGACAGAAAAGGCCTTTGTTGGCCGGGCAGATGGCCTATGCCAGGAACAGGGCGAAGTGTGTCCCTGTTGGTAGCATGTGACGCCACCCATTATGGCATCCATTTAGTCCATTTCATTGGTACAGGTCGTGTACATGAAGAACTGTTTTGTGATAGCTAAGGTTGTATTTGGCTGAACTCTGCCAAAAAAGGAGTGCTGTTTGGCCTGCTGGCCGTTAGTTTATGGGGTCCCTCATACTTTAACCTTTACCCGTTAGCTTGAGTTTGGATCTCATCGCTATGCTGATGATGCCTTGCTCTCTTTCTATATGGATGCCGAGGAATCTGTGGAAGACCTGGATCAGTGTCTGGATGCAGGGAGGGGTTGGATGTGATAAATAGGTTGAGGTCCAGTCCGAGCAAAACAGAAACTGTGTTGGTTGACTCAGAGACCAGTCTGGGATTGGCATTGCAGCCTCTTCTGGGAGCAGTTGGGCTCCCTCTGAAAGACCAGGTTTGCACCTGGTAGCAGCTTTTGGATTCAGCATTGCTCCTGAAAAACTCTGTGGACTTCTTAGCCGTGCCTTAATTAGCTCCTGATTTGATTCCTGTCTCATTCACATTGTGGATAGAAGCCATAGCTAGTGCAAAATGTGATACCTCCGACTGTTGCTTGACATGCACTTTGGAGCCTATATCGCACCAGTCTTGAACCAATGGCAGTGGTTTCCACTTTATTTCTTATCTTTGTTCAGTATACTGATTTTCACCTAAATAGACTTAAATACTGTATCTCAGGATATCTCCTATATTCACCTGTCTGGAGCGAAATCCTCAATAAAAGCCTCTGTGTGTTTCCTATCATGAGAGGCTAGGTTGGTGCTTACCTGAGACAGAGTTTTCTCTGTTAATCTTCTAAAAGGCAGATGATGCTGTTTTGTAACAAAAGGCCTTTGGTTTCTTAAAGTTAGCTTTTAGAGAATATTTTGGTTCTCTTTCTAAAAATGTTCCAATTCATTTTTAAAATAAGAAGCGCTCATTTTTACGATGGTTAAGAAACTCAGTTCTTACTCTCCGCAAGCAAAGAAGGCTTTAAACCTGTCATGTCCTTCTTGTCCTCCTCCAACTTACACACACCTAACCCCCCTTTCTGTAACTTAAATGTGTGCTTTAGGAATGCTAGTGGTTCTTTTGTACATCACATCTCACAAGTGCTTCATCTTTGCTGACTTAATTCTCAGAGAGAGACAAGCATGTTCTGCAAGGAGGAAATGTTTCCAAATTTAATTGTTTGTTATAACTTGAACTGTACATAGCTATATAAAGAGAATGGAGGAATGGGAAAAGCACAACAAATTATTTTTGAATAGTAATGATAATGAAAATAATTCTGATACTTATACTGTACTATTAGCACTCTTACTTTCTTTCTTTTACTTTTTCCAGATTGGTGCTGCCAGTCGTATCCCTGGAATTACACCAGCTGCTCTTCTTAATCTACTGAAATTTGTGAAAAAAAGTCAGAAAAGCGCAGAAAGAAGAGAGTCACCCAGAAATTTTGGACCCTTAGCAAAGACAGAGCCGTTAGGAGAAAAAAGGGTTTCAAACTGCTAAGATGAACATTGCTTTTTAAGCTAAATCCATTGAAGAGTTATTCATGTATGTTCTTGGAGCACATACACATATTTTGCTGTATGTACTGTATATTTAATCCAGTAAATACGGAGACATGTCAGACTGTAATAACCTGTACTTTGCTAATCTACCAAGTGAGCCAGTCTAATGAACTGGATTAGTCGGAGGAGGAGAGTACAGCCTCAGCTTGGATATAAAAGAAATGAGCCACACCCCTTCAGACTACGCTGTCTAGAATCAGACAGAACAGACATACAGTGGTGCCTCGACTTACGACCATAATCCATTCCAGAAGATAGATGTAACTCAAAATGGTTGTAAGTCGAAGCACCATTTCCCATAGGAATGCATTGAAATGCAATTAATCCATTCTGGTCGAAGGAAAAAATGTCTCTCAGACACACGCGCACACACACACACACCCCAAAAAGCCAAGACAGATTGGAAATGCGATTAATCCCTTCTGGCCAAAAGGGAAATTTAAAAGAAAAGAAAAGCAATTAAGCATGCAAGACCCATTGGAAATGCACAGAAAACAAAAGGAGCAGATCAGAAATGCACAGAAAACAATGGAGGCAGGTTGGAAATGGAAATGCAAAGAAAACAAAAGAAAAAGCAAGGGAAGCATGCAGGACCCATCAGAAATAGGGAAAAAACCCAAAAGCAACCAAACCCCCCAAGACCCATCAGAAATGGGGGAGCCAAAAAAACAAACCCATCGGAAATGGGGAAACCCCCCAAAAGTAACCAAATCCCTCAAGATCCATCGGAAATGGGGAGGGAGCCAAAAAACAGGTTGCTCTCTTTAGTGACAGGGTTCAGTGATAAAGTTCTGTTAGGTGGATTACATCCATATAACCTAAGTGCAAATAAATAAATAAATACGCACACACACACGCGCACGCACACACACACACACACACACAAAATCCCTCAAGATCCATCGGAAATGGGGAGGGAGCCAAAATGCAGGTTGCTCTCTTTAGTGACAGGGTTCAGTGATTGAGTTCTGTTAGGTGGATTACATCCATATAACCTCAGTGCAAATAAAGACAGACAGACAGACAGACAGACAGACAGACAGACAGACAGACAGACAGACAGACAGACAGACAGACAGACAGACAGACAGACACACAGACACAGACACAGACACACACACACACACACACACACACACGTGATATAGATACCCTTATACCAAGGTCTAGAGCTGATTATCTCATGGTTAAATGCACACTGATCCCATCCTGTCATGAGTATTTAAGATCAACATCAATACTCTGAACCCAGGCAGAAACCATTTGTGCAGTTGACATAACTATGTAATTATTTTCATTTGCAAAGTCAAGTCAGACGATTACAGCTGAGATCCCCAACCCCTAGACTGCAGACCGGTACCAGTCCGTGGCCTTGGAAAGACCAGGCTGCCTGCACAGATGAGCGGCGAGCAAGAGGTGAGCAGCGAGCGAAGCTCCACCCCCAGTCAGCGCACTCCTCTTAGGTTCTAATGCAGCTGCTGATCTGACAGGAGGTGGAACTTCAATTGCAGCTCACCTCCTGCTCCTGCTCACTGCTCATCTGTCCCAGCACAATACATGTAATGAGCTTGATTCAAAGCAACTTACTGCATAGCAAGTACCCCCCTCCTTCGGTCTTTGGGAGAATGGTCTTCAACTAAACTAGTCCCTGGTGTCAAAAAGGTTGGGGACCACTGGATTACAGAACTTTAGTTGTGATCATTCATCAATTGGGACATTTTGGAGGGGAACCTGATTAAGAAGTGTTATCAAGATTGCATCTGAAGTGGGCTTCGGTCAACAAAAATGTATGCCAAATGAAGTCTGAATTCGTGTGTGGTTATGCTTATGGAAGGCTGGTGACATCAACACTGAAATTTTTGGAATTTAAACACTTCTGTCCTGCAGCTTCTGTGTAATTCCTTTCATTGCGTGGGAACCGTGATAGCTACAGGACGATAGAAGGAATTCAGTTACTGAAGGTCATCACTGCTGTCAATATTATCCAGTGGCAAATATGGTAAAGATAGACTTTCTCCTGTTTCGCAGACCCCACACAATGAAAGGAATAACATGGGAGCTATGGGATAGAAGAAAGAACTTCCATAGGTGTAGTTGTCTGTACAGGATTTCAGCCAGAATGTACTAGTTCTTAAAATGTCCCAAGGGTCACTGTTTTGGTGCAAAAAACTAATAAGACTACTTCCTCCATAAAAGCACATGTTGTGCTAAAACTGTTAAGTAACTTTTAAACAGAGATGACAATGCATTTCTGCAATTTAGAAAAAAAAAGGTTCTATCCTAAATACTAGTAGATTAGACACAGTGTAATATAGAAGCATCTCTACAGAAATGTTAATATGATTAGTAGCACCAGGTGTATGGGGAGTGACCCAGTGGCCCAAATCTTGTTGGTTTAATCCAAATCTGGTGCTTGTAATATTTAATTCAAACTAAATGAAGATGTCACCTCTGTCTCCCCATTTCAGGATCTGAGGCTCCCTGGAAAAGCCCGTGAGAGCCTCTAAAATCAGTGGTCCAGATATTGGCAGTGGTGGTCCATTTTTGGCTATTGGTCCTATATGGACAAGGATTTGAAATGTGTAATGAATAGAGGATACCATGAATTTCTTTAATGAAGAGGCCAGCCAATGAAGAAATGCTACAGGAAAGAATAAAAAGTCAATAAAATATTAAATTCAAAAAGCTAGAATACCTTGTGCATGTAATGCAAAACAAAATTTCATGCTTGTTACAGTTGATCATTCAGAATAAAAATCAAAAGGAAAAGTGCAGGAAAGAGAACTTGTTGGCTGGAGAACCTGGGAGACTGATTTCAAAGTAGGAAAATGTTTACAGATCTCACATCCAAATAACTACAATGCTAACTAATGCCTGATATACAACAAATTTACACAGCAGCCGCAAGATGGCGCTGGACAACCATCATACAGTAATTAACCACCTGCCCTTTGATACATATGTTATCAAAGGGTAGGTGGCATTGTTCTCAGCCTCAAAATCACAAAGTTAAAAATAGACATATTATCTAATAATTATCTAATAGAGGTACTTCACCTACCCTTGCTTTTGAAGCATGTTCAAGGACCACATAACTTTTTCCCATTAAGCTTAGAGTTTGTGTCTGTTTTTTTCTTTTACCAATGTGCATCTCATAAGACTGTTACCTATTATGAGCCATTAAATTATTTATTTAGAGCTTCTGCTTATAGGCAATGTTATTGCCAAAACTTTAGTCATAAATGATAGCCTTTTAATCTGTTACATGACTGAGAGCAAACATATGCTCTAGACCCCCAGGATTTTCACTTTTACCCCCATTTGGAGTAATTTACCCGTTTCCCGACCTATGCTCTAGTGATTGTGTAGGACATAGGAGATCTGTGTTCAGATTGGCACTCAGCCATGCAGTCTCCCTGGCGGGGGGAGGTGTCACTGTAATTTGGTGAAGTAACCACTTCCATGTAGTGGATAGAGTGGTGGGCGAAGACTCAAGAGACCTAGGCTCGAATTCTTTCTTAGATGTTGAAATTCACTGCAGGGGGAGCACTGGTGGACAGCTCAATGAAAGTGTCAACCTGTATGCAGTAGCAGTGAAGGAGGCCAATTCCATGCTAGGCATTGTTAAAAAGAGGACTGAAAATAAAACAGCCAAAATGGTATTGCCATTGTACAAAATGCTAGTAAGGCCGCACCTGGAGTATTGTGTACAATTCTGGTCGCCACTCCTCAAAAAAGGCATAGCGGAACTGGAAAAGGTGCAGAAGAGTGACTAAAATGATGACTGGGCTGGAGGATCTCCCTTATGAGGAAATGCTACAGCATTTGGGGCTCTATATAGAAAGGGGATGGATCAAGTGGATAGAGTGAAGCTATTTTCCCTCTCACGCAATACCAAAACCAGGGGACATCCATTCACTTGAGTGCTGAGAGAGAGCAGACAAAATATTCATTTACCCTGCAAGTTGTTCATCTGTGGAACTGCTTGTCACAGGATGTGGTGATGGCATCTGGCCTAAATGCCTTTAAAAGGGAATTGGACAGATTTTTGGCAGAAAAGTCCATTGCAGACTACAAGCCATGATGGGGATATATAATCCCCAGGTTTAGAAGGAGGGTACCTCCAAATGCCAGATGCAGGAGAGTTATGTCAGGAGACAGGTATCTAGCTGTCTGGTGTGTTCCCAGAGGCATCTGGTGGGGCCACTGTGAGACACAGGAAGCTGGACTAAAAGCGCCCTTGGCCTGATCCTGCAGGGTTCTTATGTTCTTGTGTTTAAAAATAATCATGTGCTGCCAGTTCTGCCTTATGGCAAACCTTTTCAGGGTTTTCAGGTAGGGAATACTCAGAAGTGATTTAGCATTCAATTTTTCTGGGGGCACCCTGGGACAATGCAGCTTGCCAAAGTCCACACAACGGGAGGCTTTACTTGGAGGAGGCATAGTGGGGAATCCGCCACTCCTCAAAAAAGGCATAGTGGAACTGGAAAAGGTGCAGAAGAGTGACTAAAATGATGACTGGGCTGGAGGATCTCCCTTATGAGGAAATGCTACAGCATTTGGGGCTCTATATAGAAAGGGGATGGATCAAGTGGATAGAGTGAAGCTATTTTCCCTCTCACGCAATACCAAAACCAGGGGACATCCATTCACTTGAGTGCTGAGAGAGAGCAGACAAAATATTCATTTACCCTGCAAGTTGTTCATCTGTGGAACTGCTTGCCACAGGATGTGGTGATGGCATCTGGCCTAAATGCCTTTAAAAGGGAATTGGACAGATTTTTGGCAGAAAAGTCCATTGCAGACTACAAGCCATGATGGGGATATATAATCCCCAGGTTTAGAAGGAGGGTACCTCCAAATGCCAGATGCAGGAGAGTTATGTCAGGAGACAGGTATCTAGCTGTCTGGTGTGTTCCCAGAGGCATCTGGTGGGGCCACTGTGAGACACAGGAAGCTGGACTAAAAGCGCCCTTGGCCTGATCCTGCAGGGTTCTTATGTTCTTGTGTTTAAAAATAATCATGTGCTGCCAGTTCTGCCTTATGGCAAACCTTTTCA